AAAAAAAAAAAAAAAAACCGAGCATCCCTCCCTTCCTATTCCTTGCCAGCACCCCATTTCAAAGTTTCAGCCTACTCTAGGAAATTGAAAAGGAACTCTATCCCTACATCCTAAGTGTCTTTTTATTCCATATGCACAAGCTTCAGGACAGTCCCCAGGGTAAACAGCCTCTCCAGGATCCTCAAACTCACTTCCAGATGTAAGCCCCCAAGGTAGACAAACACATCCAGGCTTCTGGCCCCTTTCCAGATGACAGCCTCCAGAAAGATGAGTGTGGCAGAGACCTATTCCCTTGATTCCAGATGTAGGCCACAGAGTACATGAATAAACTGAAACACGTTCTCTCTCTACCACATTTAATCCCCTAAGCAAGACAGTCTTCTTATGCTTCTCCTGCAACACTCTACATTGTCTTGAGCAAGCTACATCTCCATAGATCAAAGTCTTATTTTTCTGTCTCTCACCAATTCTCTCTTCCTATTTTCCAGTCTCAATCTAAAAAGATGAGGTTCCTCACCTGGGTCAAGGTGCTTATCTCTGGACACACTTTGGGGATTAGGTTATTCTGAAGGTCTAAAGTCTTCAGGCCAGGCAATTTTTCTAATGCTGAAGGCATCTTTGTCATCTTCTTCTTATTCAAAGAAATGATCTTAGTGTTTTTGCCACCCTTCAGTGCTCCTATTAACAATCTCTCATCCATGATCTTAGAAGAAGGTAACCTGAGAGGTTAGAGTTCTTTATTATGCATCTTTAGAACCTCTCCTTTCATAATAGATGTATCATGGAAACAAAAACATTCTGAGATCCACCATGCTGAAGGCAGGTGGCATTAGAAGGGTTCCAATGTAAAAGCTGGGGAGAGAAAAATAGCAGGTCCACATCTGGGGCAGAAAATACATACATAAGGCAAGTTTTGACTCTTTCATGCCAGAGATAGGAAGTTAACTAATGAGATTACATCAGAAGGACACAGAAGCCAACTTCTGGGAGTTCTCACTAGTTTACGATGGGATGTACTGAGGATCAGAAAATAAATAGATAAAACCTAGAATAAAAAGACTGAAACACACCAAAGCATACTAAAATCTAAGAATTTATAATGTTGTTTTTTTTTTAAGTTAATAACTGTGGGAGTTGCTAGGGCACTAACACTGTTTGAAAATTGTTAAAGGAACAGTGTAAAACATTTATTCGGTATAATCCAATAGTTAATAACATTCTTATTCATAGGGGAGTTAAAGCTAGTAAAAATAGCTTTAGAAAAATGCACTATTTTTGCAAATTGTAACAAAATAGCATATCTATTCAAAAATCATAATTAGTTTTTAAAAGTATTAGTCGAAAGATTGACATAAAATTTTATAAGGATCAAGTTAATAACTCACTAATCAGTTTTAGCCATTATAAAACCTTTGACAATTACAAGATAAGCCTTATGAAGGGATGTAATAAAAAGTACACACAACCACATGAAATGTTCTTGCCTTAAAAACTGAACATAAATCTAATCGTGACTTTGAGACCTAACTAACAATTTATTCAAAGTATGAGAAGCAGACAGCAACTTAAAATTCTCAGGAAATAATGTAGTGAAATCTAGAACAGAAAATTCTATAGGGCAAATGACATAAGTTTCACCAATAAATCACTGGCAATAATACAAAGAGAAATGAATGTTATGAAGAAAAATAACAAGACAAATAAAAGTCAGATGCAATGTTTGGACCTGGATTGAATCCTCATTTGAATACAAATATCTTGGAGTCAATCAGGGAAATTTATTTATGAACTGGACATTAGACAATAGGAACTATAGTTTTGTTATGTGTAATAATGGTGTGATAGCACTTAATTTATAGGTCCATAACATTTAGAAATGCATACTGAAATTTTAAGTGAAATAAGATGATGTTTTCTCAAAGAGTCTGGTAACATGAGGTTTGAAGAATGAGAAGCATAGGTCTGAACTGCTGGTGATTCATTGGTCAGCAGGATACCAAAAGCCAAGAGTAACACTCAGAGGCAGAAATTCTCTTATGTCTACCACATGTGTCTAAACTGGAATGCTCCATAAAAGGCTGTGCCATAGAGCTCCCACATCTAACATGCCTGGGGCCATGCCAAATCCATGCAGCAGAATCTGGCAGAGATGGGCTTGACTGAGACCCCAACAAAGTGGTTCCTCTCCATAAATGGTGTAAAGGTCATGGAGGTAGACGAGGACGAGAGGCCAAAGGAGTTTTAACAATATGCTAATAATTACTTATGTTGAATAATAGGTACACAGGAATTCATTCTGCTAGTCTATTTCTGTGTATGCTCGAAAAGACTAAGAGAGGGAAGTGCATATAGCAATACAGTGTAGCCCCATTTGCACCCAGAAACAAGGGGACCCAGAGGCATCTAGGTTATATATACATGTACCACATTCAGGTGGCTAATTCCAATAATTTAAGCATTATAAAATACTGAAAGTTCTGAATCCAAGTTAATCCTATTTTTAAAAAAATTCATATGTCACTTTATCCATTTACTCAACAAGTACTTAGTGGGCACCTATTAATATGCTCAACACCCTTGAAGGCACTGGTGACAAGTAGTAAACGGAAAAGACAAAAATCCATGCTTTCAAGGAAATTACATTCTAATAGAAGAAAAATGATCAAGATAAACAAATACGTCTAATATGTTAGATGGTGATGGGTGCTAAGGAACCCCCCAAAAAAGCAGGTAAGGGAAACAGGAATTGTGGAGAGTGAGTTTCTAATTTTAAATAGGGACAACCAGAGAAGGCCTCATTTAGAGGGTGCTCTTGACCTTTTCCAATAAGAAAGTAAAGGCAGTGGCCACGATTCTACAAGAGGAATAAGAAATTTATAAAGGTAAATGACAAACATCATCATCCTAACAGCAAAACAAGAAGTACTGATTAATAAAGATCATCAGTTCCTAAAGTGATAAAACAATTTTTAGCTATTTAATCACTGCACCTTGCCTTATCTCTTCCAAACCTTTCAACCTCATTTTTTATGAGTAATTATGGTGCTACTATCTAAACAAAATGATCATAAGTATTTGGTTTTTTTTTTTTTAATCTCATGGCACTCATCACCTTTAAAGTAATGGCTGTACAGCCAGCACCCTGCTGACACTAACCAAACACTGGCAATTAACTGCCTGAAGGGAGTGAAGAGGCCACTATACAACCTGATTCTGCTTTCTGTATATTTGCTGAACTGAGAAAGTTTCTTGACAAACTTTCTGGATTCCTTCTTTTTCCATACTTCCAAAGTACGATCAATACTACTAATGCCACTCATTCCAGTTATCTATTGCTGAGAAGCAAACTACCACACAACTTAAAGGTTTAAAATAACTTTTGTTTTCTTCTCAAATCTTAATTTGGGCAGAGCTTCTGTATGTTCCCCTTGATGACACCTGTGTCAGCTTAAAGGCTGGGGAGAAAATCACTGAAAGGCCCATTTACCAACACCTTGTGTTACATGTTGCTGGTTGTACCTTCAGGTGTGCATCACACTCAAGCCCTGGGACTCTTCCCAACATGGTGCCTTGGCTCTAAGGGGTAGCATCCCAAGACAAAAAGTGAAGTGGGAGCTGTTACTACTTCCATATATTAGCTTCAAAAGTCATGCAACAGCACTTCTGCCACAACCTTTTGATTAGGAATCACTGAGACTGGCCCATATTTAAAGGCAGGCAAAGTCAATTTTGCCCCTTGATAGCAAGAGACCAAAATGTAGTGGGTATGTTTTGACACCCACAATCTACCATGTAGGCATGAACTATATATATTTCTCCTCCATGCAAAATAGGGACACATTTTGTGGAGAAATCCTCTCCCTACAAAAGTTTCATCTGTTCAGAGCATCAAAGATCCTGTCATCTAAATCAGATCCAAAGGTAGCTGTGGCTCTTGAGGGAAGGGTCCATGTATCTAGTTCTAGTATAGTTCATCTGAAAGATCTGAAGACCTGTGAACTAAAGAGACAAGTTATCTGTCTCCACACTTGCAAAATACAATCATAGGTGAAACACAGGATAGGCAAGACAGTTCCATAATGTAGACAAGGCTGTTCTTTTGAGACACTGGTTTGCAGCAATTCTGAAATCCAAGTAGGCCTGCATTGCCAGTCCCTTGGTCAGGGTTCAGTCCAGTCCTACAGCCTGAGATTAGCTCATGATTCCCCTTGCTGGGCTCTTATGTCCACGCTCTGAATTATTTTCTGTCCAATAAAATATAGCCTATGTTTGCCAAGCAGTTTTCACAGACTGATGCCTGTTCACAGAAGTACAAGAGTTCAAAAGCTTCTCTTTATTTTTTCATTTTTTGGTAATAGCTTTACTGATATATACTTATACCACACAATCACCCATTTAAAATACAGTGTTCAATGGTTTTCAGCAAATTGTAAAACTGTCAATAAATCAATTTGTAAATGAATTTACCATCATCAAAAGAAGGCCCACAATATTTAGCCATCATTCTCCAGCTCACTCATTCACCCCTATCTTAAGCAATTAATCTATTTTATCTCTATAGATTTGCCTATGCTGAGTATTTTATATTATTGAATAATATAATGTGTGGCTTCTTTTACGCAGAATAATGTTTTCAAAGTCCATTCAAGTTACAGCATATACCAGTACTTCAGTTTTTTGTTGTTAAGTATTATTCCATTGATGACTATAACACACTTTATATTTTCATTTGTTAGTTAATAAACATTTATGTTGTTTCGACTTTTTTTTCTTTTTATTGAGGTTATTGGTACAATCTAGGTATACAATACAGTTACATTCATTATTGGTATCCTGTACTTTTACATGATAGGTCTTGATTCTCATTTTTTCCCCTCGTCCCTGCCCTCCCTTTCACCCACACCTCCCCTCCCCATTTACAAACACTTTATTTCCATTTTTTCAATTTCTCAAATTTTTGCCTCTCCCTTATTACATTTCCCCCACACTTCCCACTTTCCCTACACCTTTAGCCCTTTACTTCCTATTTCACATTATTAATAATATCATTAGGATCTTCTGTACTATTATAGTTTTTCACACCAGAGAAACTATTTGGTATTTCAGTTAAAGAAATCTCTGTATGAACATTAAAAATAGGGAATCCTAAAATAAAACTGAAAAGGAAAGTAAAAGAGAAAAGGCAATGATGTAAAATTAAAATAATCCTTAATTCTGAAGATGAAAATGGTCCCTGAACATATTTAAATTACTTCTTACTCTTATAGTCTTATATTATTCTTTTATTTCATTATTTAGAGAATACTTTATTAGTTTCTGTAATCAAAGCCCCGAAGATATGACCTTACATATTTAATACTACATGTTACCCCTGTACAAATGGAAAAAAAATTAACATTTCTAGACAAATTTGGCTGTTAATTTCTGTACAACACCAAGTCAACACAGTAAATTGGGATAACTTTTTCCAAAGTTGACAGCACAGTTAAAGTTTCCAAAAATTCAAATTATATATATATATGTATATGTATATATACATATATATATTTATATTTATATAAAAAACCAATAATAGCAGTATATTATGCATCAATAGCAGCAACAGTTTTTCCAGGTTCTGCAGTCATCTGAACAAAGCTATAGACATTCAGCACATTCCATTAAAAAAAAAAAAAAACAAAAAAACAAAGAAAAGAATAATACCCAGAAAACAGCAAAGTTCTGTTGCTGTTGTGGTACCTGGCA